AGGACTAATCTCGAGATCTTTCATTACGTCCTGGTAGAAAGTTAGTTGCGTTTTCATTCTCGAAATCTTTGAGGAAGGTGGGTGTGATTCCTGCACTGAATCCAGCTGGATGAACAAATCCCTGTCCACTCTGTAGGAATATGATGACCGTTGACAGATAGAGGTCTGATGTGGTTTCCTGCTTCTCAGTTGTTTAGCCTCTTGTTCTTTGATGCTGCTTCTTTTATTAATGTGGTCCCACATCACTGATGAGGTTATCCAGACACCAAACAATGGTTTCGTTCCGTTTGGGTGAGTCCCATGATACCTATCATAAACATGACAGGTTAAAGTGTGCCTCTCGAAAAACAAAAGAAAGAAGTAAGTAATTGTACTTTGCATAAAGAAAATTAAGCCTGTTTTAAGACCATTGTGTTTTAATGGAAGACCAGGAACAACTAACTCTCTAATTCTTTTATCCTAAAAAAAGAAAAAGAAAAGAAAGTGCTTCCAATATCAATCAAATCTATAACAAATCTAATAAAAAATATATATCAATATTTATTTAGAGTTTGACCTCTTTATGACAAGGCAAGGTTAGTTCATGTTTTAAAATGTCATGTGGTATGACCCAAAAACGAAATTATATTTATGAAATAATAATTTTTGATATTTGAAAAAATACATTTAAAAGCTATTTTGAAAATAAAAATTTGCATGTGAAAGGACAGTACACTTAAATGCATTCAGTGTGTAAGAAAAAAAAGTATGTTATAACTGGCTTCTATATTATTTTCTTCCAATATTAATTAAAACTGATAAAAAGTGTAAATAAATGTACAAACATTGAATTTATGATTCAGATTAGATTGTGATCAGATTATGATTAAAACTATTATTTTCTCCCTATTTCTTCATTTCTAATTCCTATTCATATCCCTTGCTATAGAAATGTTTCTAAAGTAAAGTAGGTTCAGTTTCTTCAGTTTGGCTTTTTTATATATCACTGTTATTTTAGCAGTGGTGTATTATAGTTTTTATTAATATTTTGATTTAATTTATTTTTTATATTTTCAGTTTTCAATTTATTTTTAGTAATTTATATTTAGTAATTTTGTTGTGTTTTTGTATTTTATTTTTAGGATTTATTTATTAGTTTTAGTCTGTTTATTCTTAGTTATTTTAATTTAAACTAGTTAAAAAAAATAAGAAATGTTGGCAACTAGCTGAAATTAAATGTTTACTTTTCTGTTGTTTTCTATAGTTTTATTTATTTCAAGTAAAATTTGTTTTTAATTTTATCTGTATTACTCTGTTTGGAGACTCTTAAGGGTGCTGTATGTACATTTTTGACTGTACTAAAACATAAAACTACCTAAATATGTTTGCATATGTTTGCAACTAAATATGTTTGCAGTTATTCAGGAAACATGCTAAGTTCATATACTTGTTTCTCTGAAAAACAATGCTACAGTCAGTTATTCTACTTTAAAATGTGTGTTCCGTGTCGGAATGTCTGTTTTTGTTCTGGTCTGTGTGACTCCGCCCACTGCCAGTTTAGTATTTCGACACCTCGGGTTGCCAGTTAGTGGAAAACACAGCGTAATACAGCCATGGAAGCAAGCAAATGAACTGCATCAGAGATCACAGCATCCATCGAAAAATGACCAGATGAATATTAAAACACAGATAAATCAACTTACAGCATAAGGCTCGTCACCTCCCATTGTCAGTTATGCTCGTTCCTGTTGTGTCCCCCACATGAGCATCGAGTCTGAGGCGGAGGACACGGGGAAAAAACGACTCTCTCTGATATTTTCAATTTGGACAGCAGTACCCGTTTCAGCCAGTAGCCATCAATATTACATACTGCTCCTTTAAGATTTCTTTTAAGAAGTTCCTCATGCTCATATATACTCTTTTTGGAGGGTTTTGTTGGTGTCATGACATTCTGTGCTGGAGGCAGACGTGTAGTTTGTGCCGCACCTTCCTCCTCTCATGACTCACAGGTCTCTGGATCTGCTCCAGCTCTCAGTCTATGAGGCAATGGCCTGGATTTCATTAGCAGCAGCCCGCTTCACTGCTGTCAGCACTTTCCCAACCGACTGCTCCAGCCAGAGCTGTTTTGGGAAAATCTCTGGAACGAAAATAAGGAGCAGACGTTTTGTCAGGAAGATGTGCCTCAGAATCATAACTCAACTGATTAACCAAGAGCTTTGTTTCATAGCAAGATAACATAGACAGCCAACAGCAGAGTTACAGGAAGAGAATGGTTTAAAATAGACTGAATAAAGGCATGTGTCTTATGGGGTTTAGTTTGGCTTTGTGGGATAATGAAGAACAGAGATGGAGTTCTGGGGCCGCATGCATACAATACTGTGTGGGTTTCATCCTAAAAACAAACATTTTCCGATTTATTAAATGGTGTGTACGCTGGACCCTTCATGAATTTACATATAATGGAAAATTTAGTGTTAAATGTGCCATCATGACTGTTTCCTGAAATAACCTTAAGAGGTTTTAAAATGGACTGAAGTTCAAATCAAGCCAAACCATAGCTTATATTTGAGATATATATATATATATATATATATATATATATATATATACAGTGGTGTGAAAAAGTGTTGGCCCCCTTCCTGATTTCTTATTTTTTTGCATGTTTGTCACACTTTAATGTTTCAGATCA